GACAGCGCAACGACGCCTCGGATAGATTTACATACGTACATCACGCCTATATTCCTTACAGGGTAGGCAGCGCGTACAAAAAGGCCATTTACACCACGTCTGACAACGATTTGTATCACCGTAGTGACAATTGGTCAGAATAAAATTGCAATACAAATTGACTCTCAAATCCCATTTTGAAAAAAAATGAAATTTATTATAGATTTTAATCTGAAGTCACCGTGAAAATTATAACGGATACTGTACCACTAAAGTTTTAAGATAACTAAAGAAATTTGAATTTGCGGTTGGTAACCATACAGCTGCAAGGAAACCAGCAACAAAATGAAGTTTCTAAAGCTGAAAGACTACGAAACCCTATTTGTGGGCGTGTCTGACACACTCTTGGCCGTTATTTTTTTCTATTTCGGCCTATGTTTCTTGGGGAAAGTTGTTCCTTGTCACCGGTATGAAATGAACTGAGTTTTCGCTATAGGCCACTATAAAAAAAAAAACTCTCAATTATATAGTAGGACAAAATCAGTTTTGTGTGCTCCGCCGATTCCTCGGCCTATGTTTCTTGGGGAAAGTTGTTCCTTGTCACCGGTATGAACTGAGTTTTCGCTATCGCCCACTATAAAAAAAATCGCCCAATAATATAGTAGGACTATTCAGTTTTGTGTGCTCCGCCAAGCAGTCTCACAGCTCACTATAAGATTCAAGTAAAGAAGGCTTTTTCTAACAACATTCTTCTTCTTCCTAGACCTTGTCCCATTTACTTGGGGTCGGCCTTCCCTGTCCTTCTTTTCCACTCTGCACGGTTTAGTGCCATCTGTGGGTCTAAACTGGCGGCTTTCAGGTCTTTTTGAACCGTTGTCCACCAGGTGGTGGGGGGTCTTCCGCGTTTTCGCGTCGTCGTAGGTATGTCCAGTGCTACTTTTACCATGTGGTCTTGTGGGCGCCTCTGAATATGTCCGAACCATCTTAGGCGTCGTTCCACCAGTTTGTCTGATATGGGTGCTATTTTGTAACTGCCTCTGATGTATTGGTTTCTTATTTTATCTAGTAAGGTGACACCCGCTGACCAGCGTAACATGCGCATCTCCGTAGTATGGAGTTTATTTATATGGTGTTTGTTTGTGCCCCAGCATTCTGATCCGTATAGTATAGCAGGTCTTATTGCTGTTTTATATATTTTGCCTTTCACTTTGAGGGGCATTTTTTTGTCGCACATCACGCCCGTCAGCTCCTTCCATTTAAGCCAACCGGTATTGCTTCTGTGTATTACGTCGGAGTCTATTTTCCCGTCATTACTGATGACCGAGCCAAGGTATTTAAATTTTTCTACTGACGGTACTGGTGTTTGATCTATGAGCATGTTTATGTCTTTTGGATCCGTGATGTCATCAAATATGCAAGACATAAGCTCGGTCTTCTTTCGACTGATTTTGAGGCCATTCCCTTCTAGGGCTTTTACCCAGCCGTTAAGATCATTTTGGAGCTCGTCTGTAGATTCAGCTATAAGTACAACGTCATCTGCATATAACATATTCCAAGGCACTGGACGTTGTATATGCTTAGTAATGTAGTCTATGGTTACATTGAACAGAAGCGGGCTGAGTGTTGAGCCCTGATGAACTCCGACCTTCAACTCAAAACACTCCGAAATACCTGCAGGGCATGCGATTTGGGTCAGGATGTCTTCATACATATCCCTCATTAAATAGATGTAATGTCCCGGCACAGACTGCGCACGCAAGGCATTCCATATTAGATCACGAGGGACATGATCGAAAGCCTTCTCCAGATCGATGAAGATCATGTGCAGGTTAGTTTTGCTTATTTTTGCTTTCTCTAGAAGGATTCTGATAGCCTGTATGGCATCTGAAGTGCATTTGCCTGCTACGAAGCCGCACTGGTTGGGTGTCAACTCAATTATTCTGCTGATTCTATTATTTATTAATCTCTCCCATATCTTGAATGTGTGGTCCATTAGTTTGATAGCTCTGTAATTACCACACTCCTGACGTCGCCCTTTCCTTTGTAAAGGGAATAAGATGGCTCTTGCGCCATGCATTTGGTATGGCTTGGCCAGTGTTCAGCTTGTTGTACAGGATGTGTAGCCAAGATATTCCTTCGGGACCCAAATGTTTCCAGACCTCGTTTGGGATTTCATCCGGGCCGGGGGCTTTATTGTTCTTTGTTTGTTTAACAGCGCTGATTATTTCCTCTAATGAGATTTCGGGAGCCGGGCCCTGTACAGGGGGTGGTTTTGTATCTTCAGGATTTCTGGGATTGACTTTATTTAAAAGGTCTTTGTAATATTCTACCCATCTTTGCTGGATTTTATTATCTTCGGTCAGTAAGGTACCATGATTGTCTTTGATATATTTTGCAGAATTTATGTCTTTGCTGTTATTGTTTCTCATTTTTGCGATTTTGTGTATGTCAATTTCAGATGAAGCGGATTCAAGATCATCATAAAATTTTGAATTTGACTCCGCTCTGGAGATTGCCACCTGACGTTTTGCATTTACTTTCGCAGTTTTGTATGTTTCTCGATCCGAGTCTTTGTTGGTGGTTTGCCATGTCTTAAAGGCTTCCTTTTTAACTCGCAGTGCATCTTTTATGCTTTCTTTCCACCAGCTAGTTTCTTTGAAAGGGCCTTTTCTTTTCTTTGTTCTTCCAAGATGTTTTTCGGCGAGTGTTCTACACTTAATCTCAAAATCATTCCACATTTCATTTGCAGTCTGGTTAAAATCATCACAGGTCTTACTAATGAATTCTTTCAGTTCTGATACGAAGTTCGTGCCCGCATCGGTCTTCAGAGACTTCCATTTGATTTTTGGTATAAGATTCTGGTTTAGTTTAATTGGTTTAGAAAGCTTGTAGACTGTTACTAATATTCTGTGCTGTGATGTTAATGCTTCTCCAGGTATTACTTTGCTGTCCTTGTATTTTCCGAGGTCTTTCCTTCTCGCCAGTACGTAATCGATTTGCGTTGAACGTCCACCGCTTTTGTACGTGACAAGGTGAGTATCTTTCTTGCTAAAGTAGGTGTTTATGATAGCGAGATCACAGCTGACAGCGTATTCCAGGATTTTGTCCCCGTCTTGATTACGGGTACCATATCCGTAGCCGCCATGCCATCCTTCGGCGTTGGTGTTTGATTTTCCGACATGGCCATTTAAGTCAGCGCCGAGATGGATACTCTCGTCTTTTGGAATGTTGTTAGTCAACAAGTGCAGATCATCCCAGAAAGCATCTTTTTCATCAGAGGCAGAGTTAGTTTGAGGCGCATAGGCGCATATAATATTCAAGATGGGTTGCTTTTCAAGTGCTATTTTTACCGACATCAGTCGGTCTGATATTCTTTGAACATCGACTAATCTTTGACATAATTTTTCAGACAGAACTATTCCAACACCGTTTTTACCACTGGTAGAGCCATGGTATATCAGTTTGTAGCCGTTTCCTATAAGTCTGGATTTTGACCCTCCCCACTTGGTCTCTTGCACACAACATGCATCGATGCTTCGTCTTTTTAGGACTTCGCTGAGTTCGGCGCTTCGGCCAGTCATGGAACCGAGATTCCAGGTCGCAAGTCGCAGTTTATCGCATATGGTATCGCATGTGTTGCCTCGACCGTCGCTTGAGGGGGACGCCCTAGCATTTATACTCTTTCTCTTATTCGTGCTTTTCATATTTGGACAGGGAAAAGGTTGTGGCTATGGGGTTTTTACAGCCGGCTGCCGCCTGACGCCAAGGCAGTGCCTCTCATTGGAGATATGTGGGCGCCGCCGTTGGATGGTTGGACCTTTATCTCATTCGCCGCCGACCCTACTGCACCGCCCTGCCTAGCAGTGCAGCTCCATTGCAACCTGTGGCCTCAGTACGTGAGGGCAGCTTGTCAATGGGTTAGTGCCTCTTCCGCCTGCTCCGCCGTTCCAGTGCCCTTCACTTCCGCCTTCACAGCCGTTGAGGACTTCACCCGTAACCCTGGGCAGGGGTTCGCGCTATACCCCGTGAAACTGGGTCCCTGTCCGAACTTCGCCACCTTCACACTCCGGCCTACTGGAGCGTGGGGTGCCCACCCCCGCGACAAGGACGCGCCGAACAGGACTTACCCCAGTGGAGGGCAGAGAAGGTGACTCTGTCCCCCCTGGGGCCGGGTTAATGTCTCGTATGAGTCCGAGAACAAGGGCTTTTTCTAACAACAAGTAAAACAAAATTGAAATTTCGGTAAAACTCACGATGTTATGTCGTCTCCGTTCCGTTTTGATTAAAAATAACTTTTATCATTTCCTGTTTCAGATTCAAACGTACGTGCTATCGAACAGGTTCGATTCGTTCGCGACGTTCATGATCTCCGGCAACTACATACACTGCGACTGCAACACCGAAAAAGTGCTCAAGGTACCTCAGCCGTCCATGCTATAAATCTTATACCTTTTCAAAATCCATAACAGCCACAACAGTCAACAGGCGGGGGGTAAAGTACGTTCGCTCAGAGCCGATCATTCTTTGTACCTGCCGCCTAGGCGCGTGCCGGCGCTTCTCAAAGGAGGTCGCCGCCGACACAAAGGTCGCCGCGTTCTCGTACATTTGCACTTGATTTTGATGTCACTATCCTCCCAAGTGGACGAGCGGCGGCACACGCCTAGGCAACTCCATTATCATATTGCCATACTCACCACGCTTGGCAGGCGGATTGGGGCGAGCGCAGTGCAAGATTTTGCTTTGACAGTGAACGCTGCGGCTCATTCCCTGGGATGATTATCCCTTAGTTGCTTTTTACGACACCCACGAGTAGAAATGGGGTGATGCTATTCTAAGCCGGCATCACACATTCCTTTAAACGAGCAAAAATTGGACAAATCAATCTAGCTAAGTTACATTTTTCAAAAATCATTTTTTCATAATCTTTTTGTAAAATGTTTTAAAACTAGCAACGTCATCTATTGATTAACCAAGGAAACTCCGTTAACTAGGTACTGAAATAAGAAATAGATAAAATTTCATGCATTGACCGGGGCTCGAACCCGGGCCGCATGGGTCCACGCCTCACCGCTATGCCACTAAGCTGTCGATGCCCCGGTCGATGAGAGTCAATTTTTTAATTTCGTAATTTATGTATGAGAATCGAGATTCCTCGGTTAATCAATAGATGTCGTTGTTAGTTTTAAAGTAAATTTTTGGAGAAAAAACGAATTTTGGAGAATCTCTCTTCATGTGGGACACCGAGTCGTTCAACGACCCGATGGAGAATGAAACCTAGCTAGATAGATTTATTATCGCCCACGACACCCCGAATATGTATTGTGTACAAAACTCTCGACACCAGGGCTCATCGGGTCGTTAGAAGACTCGGTGTCCCACTCGAAAAAAGCAAAAGTTTAGCTCAGTGCAGTCCCTATTAGTACGGCTCCTTAGCTGGAAGTATGGTCCCATCTGGCAGAAATCATGAAACTTGGCATGTGTGTAGCTTACATGTGTAAGCTTCAGGAAGAAGGCAAGTTCCCTGCTTTCCCCTTTACCCCCTTATGTCCCAAATTTCAGTTATCTTTATTTTTCTCGGAAACGATTAAAGATAGGAGAAATTTGTCAAGGTAAGAAATATTCCTTATAATATTGTCTACATAATTGTCTTTGGGTCGATGTTGATAGGACTTATACTTTTCGAGTTATGCTTCTGGGAAACCCATCATTTTTTTGAAGGTGACTTCCAGCTCTGAATTAGCCATAACTACCATGTGATAGAATATTCTTTCAAACTTGCTATTGGCTTTTGTCAGTTAGGTCCCGCAGAGACAACACTTCAATCACGCCTGTGGGGATGGGGGGAGGGGGGCAAAGTTTATTTTTTCCGAGCTGAACTTGAGGACTTCTGACTCCTTAAGTAAATGTGACACGAGAAATTGAGTATCATTTTCGAATATATCAAATGACGGAGTATTCATTTCTGGAACGCGTTTTGGTACATTTCATACAAAAATATAAAAATATTAAGTGAAATAAGAAAAAAATATGTTTCGTTCTCATTTAAACGCCGTTTTCTTCATGACCTTGAGATATATTTACTAGATAATAACACATACTCAAAGACATACTCACCCGAATTATAAAGCCATATTTTATTTTCGAAAATATTAGAAAATACCTAGCCTACAGAAGCCTAAATATTTTTACAAAGTTATGTTTGTAGCTGGAAAAATTTCAAATTCATAGATTTTGTATGCAAAAATAAGATTACCAACCGCAAACGTATATTTCTCAATTGTCGCTAAACCATTCCAGATAGGGAAATGCCCTCATAGGAAATGTTGTTTATACTGAAGAGTTGTTTATGCTGATATATAGAAATTGAAGATCTGGAGTACTTGATGTGGAACATCAACAGCCCAGCTAAACTATTCGAGATACTGTAATGTCTTCTTAAACATCAAGTACTCCAGAACCTCAATTTCTTTATTCCAACAAAATCTACCCTTCAGTATAAACAACATTCCTTATGAAAGCATTTCTCTATCTGGAATGGTTTAGCGACAATTAAGAAATATAAGTTTGCGGTTGGTAATCTTATTTTTGCATACAAAATCTATGAACTTGAAATTTTTCCAGCTACAAACATAACTTTGTAAAATATTTAGGCTTCCGTAGGCTAGGTATTTTCTAATATTTTCGAAAATAAAATATGGTTTTATAATTAGGGTGAGTATGTCTTCGAGTATGTGTTATTGTCTAATAAATATGTCTCAAGGTCATGAAGAAAACAGAGTTTGAATGAGAACGAAACATATTTTTTTTCCAATTTCACTTAATATATTTATATTTTTGTATGAAATGTACCAAAAGCGTCCCAGAAATGAATACTCCGTCCTGGTTTATTCTGAAAATGATACTCAATTCTCGTGTCACATTTACTTAAGGAGTCAAAAGTCCTCAAGTTCAGCTCGGAAAAATAAACTTTGCCTCCTCCCACCCCACAGGCGTGATTGAAGTGTTGTCTCTGGATTTCTGAAGACTACCTAACTAACAACAGCCAATAGCAAGTTTGAAAGAATATTCTATCACATGGTAGTTATGGCTAATTCAAGGCTAGAAGTCACCTTCAAAAAAATGATGGGTTTCCCAGAAGCATAACTCGAAAAGTATAAGTCCTATCAACATCGACCCAAAGACAATTATGTAGACAATATTATAAGGAATATTTCTTACCTTGACAAATTTCTCCTATCTTTAATCGTTTCCGAGAAAAATAAAGATAACTGAAATTTGGGACATAAAAGGTAAAGGGGAAGCAGGGGTCCAACTTGCTTCCCTTCTTTTCCTGAAGCTTACACATGTAAGCTACACACATGCCAAGTTTCATGATTTCTGCCAGATGGGACCATACCTCCATACAAACTGCCAATTAAGAACTCGGACTATATCCCGCTTTCCTCGCAAAATACAATTCTGACTCAAAATTTTTAATAACAGAAATCAATTTACCCTTCCAGCCGTGGCTCGTGGAGAACTTCAAAAACATCCCCGACTACAAGAAGCTGCAATGCGAAGGCACTTTACAGCCGGTAGTGGAGTTAGTGGAAGCAACGGTCTGCCATACGCCGCGCGACTGGACCGACTACATCTACTACATCATCGCGCTGGAAGTGTTGGTATGTTACATTATTAATGATAAAGTCCCACACACAAAAAAAATGATAAATCTGATTTGACAGACAGTCGATGTGGCGCAGTGGTTAGTATGACTGTCTGCCACGCAAAAGGTTTTGGGTTCAACTCCCGGTGGGGTCACTTACAAAGTTAATATTTATCACTTTGTGAATTTGTTCAGAGTCTGGTTAGTACATTGCAGGCTGAACCACCTGTTTGACCGAAAAGCAAGATGGTTCCGTGCTTCGGATGGGCACGTTAAGCCGTCGGTCCCGGTTGCTGTCAATGATCGCGGTCGTTACACAACCATGTCAGGAGCCTGTTACTTGCAGTAGGCGGTTGAAAATCTCTGACACCAGGGTTCATCGGGTCGTTGAACGACTTGGTGTCCCACACGAAGAGAGACAGATTAAATTTTTACATAATAATACACACCTTATTAGTGATGTATATAGTAACCGTGTGACGCCGGCTTAGAATAGCATCATCCCAATTCTACACGTGGGTGTCGTAAAAAGCGACTAAGGGATACTTATCCAGGGAATGGTCAGCAGCGTTCCCTGTCAATGCGACATCATGCACTGCTCTCGCCAATCCGCCTGCCAAGCGTGGTGAGTATGGCAATACCCCCCGATAGGGGACGGCCCATGTCCAGCAGTGGACTGTTGTGGCTGTTATGGTAATACACACCTTTAAAACTGACTCAACCTTAACAGGTCCTGATCACGCTGGTCAGCAAGGTCTCCTACGACTACTGGGTCTTCAAGACCGCGGGATACTTGCCGTGGCCCGCGAATAAGATGCCGCGGCTGCCCTGTGATTGGCTGTGCGAGTGAACCCGTCTGATTGGTCATTAGAGTACCTATACAGGGAGGAACAGAAAGGGTATAACAAGCCGAAAGGAGGTCAAGGAACATCGGGTCGAAATATATGGTGAAATTTTACTAGTGACCGATAGCGAAAACTCAGAACCGGCTAGTGATAAGGAACAACTGCTACTTTGCTACTGATAGACAGAGGTTGTCTGCAGACTACTGCAAACCGTTCTTACTTTTTAAGCGCACTATATAGCTTTCTTATTAAGGATTGGTCAGATTGAGATCACGACACTTAAGAAATGTGCCTTGTTGTTATCAAGTGTTTTGTGTAATTTACTCAGAATGACTTTTGGTGGCATAGACCGTAGTTAAAATGCAGGGGTAAAAAAATATGAAAGTAGTTCCTTGGGTGAGCCAACCTTAAAGGTTAACATATTTCCCCAAGAACATAGCTTAAGTTAGCCATATGAAACTATGATTCGACGAAAAGGGATTTTTGAACCCCTCAAATGACTTATTTTTCTGGAGAGGAAAAAGTAGTTTCGTCGTTCATCTCTAGATATATTTCATGCAATTTTTCAACTTATAGTGCCTTCTGATTGGTTGAGCATCAACGGCCGTCCTTATTGGTGAATTATAAATGTTTAAGTATTCGATGTTATTTCTAAATCCAAAGATGTTATTTCTTTTTATTTGGCAGCTAGCTAAAATATATGAAGGTCATAATTGATTGGCCAGAGTAAAAGCTTTGGTAATGTGTCTTTAAGATAAGATGAATTGTATGAATAAAATATTACAAGTTTTTCGTCCCAATCCTACACTTTATGATGTGCTCTAAATCTTAAGATTAGAAATGCTTAAATCGCATACGAAATTCGTGACGTGAAAATTATTTATTCAAGAGAAATATTAATAAGTCTTTAAGACATTGGTGTAAGTATAACTGGCGCAAATAAAGAACATATCCCGAATTGGCAACTTTACTGTTTGCCTCTGCATCATATTATATGACATATGATCAGGATGTCAACAATGATGTTGCCAATTCAGGATTTGTTAATTATTTGTGCCAGTTATGGTTATTTTTAACTTTATGATTATTTAAGAAATAATTGTTAATCGTAGAAATCAAATAATTTAGTTGGAATATGCAGGTGTAACTTTACTTAATTCAATCAAAATATGCCACTTTTAACGAATCTCTGTAATCGTGAAACTTGTCTCGACAGAGCTTATGTTAATTTACGGAAACATTCTGTTTATTTTCTTATTGTTATTTTATTGCACAGAGCCGGGAGCAAGGCGATGGTTCAGATGGAACATACGTATAACCACAGTGAAGCCATGAAAAACTCGTCACAATCAGATTTGGTGCAATAAAATAAATAAAACGCAATAAAATTCACAAGAAACTCAATTTTCTGTATAATTACAGCTCAAATCACAAAGTACGTGCGCTAAGTATTGTCTTATGCAATTACAGCAAGATTTAATCTGACTTTTAAAAGCTCACCTACCAGTACGCGCGCGAGTTCATGGCCGTCCTTTAATTATGTGCCTCCTTGTCGCACATGTCAGTGTCACATAGTTTATGACAAGGATGCGCATATTTCAGG